TAAAGAGGAAAATGTAATTTCTGTGTTTGAGTGTGAGGTGAAGTAGGAAGAGAAATTGTGAGTTCATAACAAGTTATTTATCTGAAGAAAAATGTATCTCATGTGTTATAGATAAAAGTAGTTTGTATGTGGGATAACGTAGTCCGTTTGGAAGTAATTTTCATGTGGGGTAGTTTATGTGTTGGGGCTAATGTATCGGGGGCACGGTAGTTAGAGTGTATATATTGAGACATTGTTAGTGGGGGGGGGGAGGGGGTTGTTAGTGTGTGGCGGAGGTTCGGATAATTTGTATAATGAAGTGTGGTAAGCATCAGTGTGTTTGTGTTCGTGTGTACAGCGTCGCCTCACACGGCGGGAAGCGTGTACAACCATCACTTCTTGCGCCCTCCCCTTGTGTGTGTGGGCTGAGTGGATTCCCCGTTTGCGTTTCCGATCTTAATGGTGGACACAAAACACGAAAGTCGGTTTCGTTCTATGTCCTTCGTCCTATGATTCCAGACTTATATTCGTCCTATGATTCCAGACTTATATTCGTCCTATGATTCCAGACTTATATTCGTCCTATGATTCCAGACTTATATTCGTCCTATGATTCCATTCCTATTATATTCGATTCCTATTGTATTCGTCCTATGATTCCAGACTTATAGCACACCCTGTATAATGTATGTGTTGTGCATACGTGTACGTCGAGTATTTGTGCTCATAATTATATAGGTTACTGATGAAGACGATGAGTCACAATAACGTGGCTGAAGATATAATGACCACACCACACGTCAGAAAAGAGAAACGACGACGTTTCGGTCCGTCCTGGACCATTATCAAATAGTGTAATAGATCGTTGTCTGTCACACGACTTGGTAACGGTCCAAGGAGGGACCGAAACGTTGGCGGTTTTCCATTTTCTGATGTGTGGTTTGGTCGTGATTATATAGTTTACCGTGTAGGTGAATATGTGTGTGGTGGGAGGCAGTGAGGTAGTGTGGCGGGGACACCATTACCTATTATTCGGAAAGGTACATTTCTCTTGTGATTGGAGAAAGATGGGAATAGCGGAAGAAGGAGGAGCAAGAGAATGTTAGGAGGGAGGAAGGGTAGGGGAAGGAGGCGGAGTCGTAAGCGGACTGTAAATCACAGAACACAGTCTGGTATACACGGAGCCTGCAGGGAATGTTTGTTGGATTTAATACCGTGTGGGAGGAGAGGAAGATGCGTGTTTTACCGTAAACCGCGAACAGATTAATGTGGTGGATTTGTCGTGTTGTTAACCGTAAGGAATCAGGGAGTTGCTGCGTGACCCATTATGCCTGATGCATAATATATATTCACTCTTCGTGAAGCCCAGGACTTGGTTTTAACATTGAACCCAAAGGGACTGTTGTCGGGAGCGATGCTCTTAACTTGCTGAGATTAATGTTTGCGCTCGAGTTGTATTCTGGGGATTCAGAGTGTTTACTTACCTAAATGGGCTTGCAGGGTCGATCATTCTTCACGAGTTCTCCCTTTCAAGTTGCCGATTATTCAATATAGTGAATCATTCTTACCAGAATTGTACTTTAAATGTATGTCTGGGTAGAGCTTTAAATACCTTTGCTTCCGAACCGTTCGACTGGGTTGTTAAATTATTGTAAACGTTGGTGAAACATTATATAAATGATTTTGGGTGAATACAGGAATGAGCTGTCTCGTATGGGGCAGGCTTTCTGTAATTACCTTTACTGTTACTATTATTATTACTCGTATTCTGAAATAGGTCAGCGGGTCGTCCCTGGGGCTTACATTTGCCTCATATTTACACATATGTTCCGTCTTTTCTCCTGTTGAGCATTTCTTTATTTATTCTCTGAATACCTTTCAGAATAATATTTGACATAGTGTCATCTTCTGTTCTTAAGGGTGGGTATGGTCCAGTTCCCAAAGCCTTTCCTGGTAGCTTAATCCTATCAGCTCTGGCTTGAGTCTTGCTCCATACATCAGGGATTATGAATTATCTTGCTTTTACCGAACCACTTACGAAACCTGTACAGTCTGCTCATTACCACCACCACCACTGCCAACACCTCAACCACCACCACTACTGCCACCACCACCACCACCACTGCCACCACCTCAACCACCACCACTACTGCCACCACTACCACCACTACTGCCACCACCACCACCACCACTGCCACCACCTCAACCACCACCACTACTGCCACCACCACCACCACTACTGCCACCACCACCACCACCACTGCCACCACCACCACATCCACTGCTACCACTCTTTTCACCTCTTGAGCAGAGGTGAAAGACCTTTTACCTCTTTTCACTCTTAGGTCACTGTCTCTTATCCGAGTTGCTCCATCGATCAGTTTAGCACTTCTTAATCATGGTTTTTTTAAGCTTTGTGGGTGTGTATGTATGTTTATGTGTGTGTACTCACCTATTTGTGCTTGCGAGGGTTGAGCTCTGGCTCTTTGGTCCCGCCTCTCAACTGTCAATCAACTGGTGGGATTGACATCACACACTCAACTGTGTGTGTGTGTGTGTGTGTGTGTGTGTGTGTGTGTGTGTGTGTGTGTGTGTGTGTGTGCGTGTGTGTGTGTGCGTGTGTGTGTGTGTGTGTGTGTGTGTGTGTGTGTGTGTGTGTGTGTGTGTGCGTGTGTGTGTGTGTGTGTGTGTGTGTGTGTGTGTGTGTGTGTGTGCGTGTGTGTGTGCGTGTGTGTGTGACCGTCATCAACGTCATGGAGTTACAAGAACCTTCATCAACACAATTATTCTCTTCCGCGGCATTTAAGTACATTAAAATCACATTAGCATTTACATTAACATGGGCTTTTCTCCAGCTCTGAAACAACTAAACTATTAGAAACCTTGTTGTCCCAAGGTCACAGTTGAATATTTCATCTGCTGGTCTAGACGTATAGTATCGTGGTGTCTGAGCAATAACACATTCCCTTTGTAATTATCATACTTTTTAATATTTGGAAGTTCATATATATATATATATATATATATATATATATATATATATATATATATATATATATATATATATATATATAATATGTTTATAGTGAATAGTTTGGTTATTTGGGTATTTATAGTGGGGTTGTTCTATTCTTATGCGGATTGCTTCAAAAATTTATGTAATCTTGGATTTTGTCTATTATACATGTATTTTTATTCAACATTTCTCTTGTTAGGGTGATGTTATGGGTTTGTCTCGCGTGATTTTTAGGGGCACCTGATTGAAGATGTCAGGTAAAACGCCTCGTCAGCTTGGTCGACGTCATACCTTTGTACTTAGACTGAAGGCTACATTCATCCTTCGTGGGGGCAGGTGTACATATATGTACCACGTTCGACTGCTGTAAAGGGTTCTCCGTCGGCTTCGGGCTGTTTTTAATGAGGAGGTCGGTGGCCTTCTTTGTTTTATAATATATGATTAGATCTATGTTTTGGTTAAGAGTTGTGCTTTTTACTCCTTGACGGACCATTTCTTTCATTATGCTTTCTTCTTTTTTTAAATTTACTATGCATGGTTGATTTGTAATATTAATTTATTGTAGGTGTTGTGGTTTCTGTTCTTGGTTCACGATTGGACCACCGGTCAAAGTGTCGTCTTATATATATATATATATATATATATATATATATATATATATATATATATATATATATATATATATATATATATATATATATATATATATATATATATATATATATATATCGATAAATAGGATGGCTTGGTGTTGCTGAAAGATTTGTTGATAAAAATCAACAAGTTTGTAAGCTAAAGAGGGATATGAGACCATGTATAATATGTCTGCATCGCTCCAGTGATGTGTAATTATAATTAGTTAATATTGTTAATGGCGATCATTATTACTAAGACGAACGCGCTATTAAAATGCATGATATTTATGTAATATTTTAGAAAGCAAGTTTGATTAATCTCTATAAAAGTTTTGATTAATATTGTAAAGAAAAAAACACATTTTTTCTTGGACTCAAAGTGTCCATATTAAATTCCAGTTTTTCGGCTTTGTTTTACACTCTTTATTCATATAACAGTTTCCCAAATGTAATTAAATTTATGTATATATATATATATATATATATATATATATATATATATATATATATATATATATATATATATATATATGTATGTATGCACACAAAATGATTTCTAGGCGCAGTTGCTGAATAAGCCGAAATCCCATAATATTATCACTTTATTGAGCCGATAACGCTAATACGCGGCAATCAGCTCGAAATTGCCCGAAAATCTCTCTTTTGAATAATTTACTCTTTTATTTGAGGCACTGAATAGGCCGAGCTTACCAGGGGACCAGTATAGTATCAGGGGACCATCAGGAGATCACCTATGCCGACTATCACTCAAGATGATAACTCTTCTGTTATCTTATCTCATATATGTTATCCCTGGAAACACAAACCGTAACTGTCTCTATTTTCCGCTTGTTACAACTTGTAATTAAGTTGCTATATCTTGGCTTAACGTGTTTATGACGTATTAGAACGTTGTTATAACTTGCTATATTGTTTGTTATAACTGGTTAGAAGGTGTTAAAACTTGTTCGAACGTTGTACCAACGTCGTAGTTTCGGTGTGTGTTTGGCGGGATCTTATCAGCATATCTCTTGTTATATTGTGTATGTGAATATTTTCAGTGCTTTACAAATTGCCTACCGGAATTGTTTTAGTGATATGTGTGTGTTTTTTAATTTACAGCGATGTAGACCGTTCATGTATGCATGTTTCCCTATTTTTTATGTATTAAAAAAACGAAGAATGTTGACAAATGTGAGAAATATTGAAATGTCGATAAATATTGGTTCATTCGGCATCGTCACGCAAAATCTATTACCAAGAAACTTTTAGTTTTTCTTGTATACTTTAGCAAACTCATTTGTGAATATTTGGACTTCAGATTTATAGTAATAACCCAAAAAAATTGAAGAAACGTAAAAAGAATTTAAATGTTTTCTGCTACGCCGAGAGGTGGAGAGAAGGCTCTGAGGAAGCACAGTGAGGGAGAGGAGGCTCTGAGGAAGCACAGTGATGGAGAGGAGGCACTGAGGAAGCACAGTGATGGAGAGGAGGCTCTGAGGAAGCACAGTGATGGAGAGGAGGCTCTGAGGAAGCACAGTGATGGAGAGGAGGCTCTGAGGAAGCACAGTGATGGCGAGGAGGCTCTGAGGAAGCACAGTGATGGAGAGGAGGCTCTGAGGAAGCACAGTGATGGAGAGGAGGCTCTGAGGAAGTATAGTGATGGAGAGGAGGCTCTGAGGAAGTATAGTGATGGAGAGGAGGCTCTGAGGAAGCACAATGAGGGAGAGGAGGCTCTGAGGAAGCACAGTGAGGGAGAGGAGGCTCTGAGGAAGCACAGTGATGGAGAGGAGGCTCTGAGGAAGTATAGTGATGGAGAGGAGGCTCTGAGGAAGTATAGTGATGGAGAGGAGGCTCTGAGGAAGCACAGTGATGGAGAGGAGGCTCTGAGGAAGCACAGTGATGGAGAGGAGGCTCTGAGGAAGCACAGTGATGGAGAGGAGGCTCTGAGAAAGTATAGTGATGGAGAGGAGGCTCTGAGGAAGTATAGTGATGGAGAGGAGGCTCTGAGGAAGCACAGTGATGGAGAGGAGGCTCTGAGGAACCACAGTGATGGAGAGGAGGCTCTGAGGAAGCACAGTGATGGAGAGGAGGCTCTGAGGAAGCACAGTGAGGGTGAGGAGGCTCTGAGGAAGCACAGTGATGGAGAGGAGGCTCTGAGGAAGTATAGTGATGGAGAGGAGGCTCTGAGGAAGTATAGTGATGGAGAGGAGGCTCTGAGGAAGCACAGTGAGGGAGAGGAGGCTCTGAGGAAGCACAGTGAGGGAGAGGAGGCTCTGAGGAAGCACAGTGAGGGAGAGAAGGCTCTGAGGAACCACAGTGATGGAGAGGAGGCTCTGAGGAAGCACAGTGATGGAGAGGAGGCTCTGAGGAAGCACAGTGATGGAGAGGAGGCTCTGAGGAAGTATAGTGATGGAGAGGAGGCTCTGAGGAAGTATAGTGATGGAGAGGAGGCTCTGAGGAAGCACAGTGAGGGAGAGGAGGCTCTGAGGAAGCACAGTGATGGAGAGGAGGCTCTGAGGAAGCACAGTGAGGGAGAGGAGGCTCTGAGGAAGCACAGTGAGGGAGAGGAGGCTCTGAGGAAGCACAGTGAGGGAGAGGAGGCTCTGAGGAAGCACAGTGATGGAGAGGAGGCTCTGAGGAAGCACAGTGAGGGAGAGGAGGCTCTGAGGAAGCACAGTGAGGGAGAGGAGGCTCTGAGGAAGCACAGTGAGGGAGAGGAGGCTCTGAGGAACCACAGTGATGGAGAGGAGGCTCTGAGGAACCACAGTGATGGAGAGGAGGCTCTGAGGAACCACAGTGATGGAGAGGAGGCTCTGAGGAACCACAGTGATGGAGAGGAGGCTCTGAGGAACCACAGTGATGGAGAGGAGGCTCTGAGGAAGCATAGAGGTGGTGAGAGGAGAGAATCTGAAATCAATTTTAAAAATCCAAAACTGAACAAGCCAAAAAAAAGAAGGGAATTTAAAACAGAATGGGTACAAGAGACAACAGTACCAAAGGAAGAGATCCTCCAAGCTCTCTCTCTCTCTCTCTCTCTCTCTCTCTCTCTCTCTCTCTCTCTCTCTCTCTCTCTCTCTCTCTCTCTCTCTCTCTCTCTCTCTCTCTCTCTCTAAAGGATATTACTCTTTCTCTGTCTTATTTCGTGCACACACACACACACACACACACACACACACACACACACACACACACACACACACACACACACACACACACACACACACACACTTATGCATCAACAAAGGTTGATGCATAAGCTGGAGAAACAGGCAGGAGTAACTGGTAGGGCGCTCCAGTGGATAAGGGAGTACTTAAACAATAGGAAGCAGAGAGTTACAGTGAGGGGTGAGACCTCAGACTGGCGTGAAGTCACCAGTGGAGTCCCACAGGGCTCTGTACTTGGACCTATCCTGTTTCTGATATACGTAAATGATCTCCCAGAGGATATAAACTCATTCCTCTCAATGTTTGCTGACGACGCCAAAATTATGAGAAGGATTAAGACAGAGGAGGACAGCTTGAGGCTTCAAGAAGACCTGGACAAGCTGCAGGAATGGTCGAACAAATGGCTGTTAGAGTTTAATCCAAGCAAATGTAATGTAATGAAGATAGGGGTAGGAAGCAGGAGACCAGATACAAGGTATCACTTGGGAGATGAAATACTTCAAGAGTCCGAGAGAGAGAAAGACCTAGGGGTTGATATCACGCCAGACCTGTCCCCTGAAGCTCATATCAAGAGGATAACAGCAGCAGCATATGCCAGGTTGGCTAACATAAGAACGGCCTTTAGAAACTTGTGTAAGGAAGCTTTCAGAATATTATATACCACATATGTCAGACCAATCCTGGAGTATGCGGCACCAGCATGGAGTCCATATCTAGTCAAGCATAAGACTAAATTGGAAAAGGTTCAAAGGTTTGCCACCAGACTAGTACCCGAGCTGAGAGGTATGAGCTACAAGGAGAGAATACGGGAATTAAACCTCACTTCGTTGGAAGACAGAAGAGTTAGGGGGGACATGATCACCACATTCAAGATCCTCAAGGGAATCGACAGGGTTGATAAAGACAGGCTGTTTAACACAAGGGGCACACGCACTAGGGGACACAGGTGGAAACTGAGTACCCAAATGAGCCACAGAGATATTAGAAAGAACTTTTTTAGTGTCAGAGTGGTTGACAAATGGAAAGCATTAGGAAGTGATGTGGTGGAGGCTGACTCCATACACAGTTTCAAGTGTAGATATGATAGAGCCCAATAGGCTCAGGAACATGTACACATGTTGATTGACAGTTGAGAGGCGGGACCAAAGAGCCAGAGCTCAACCCCCGCAAGCACAACTAGGTGAACTAGGTGAGTACACACACACACACACACACACACACACACACACACACACACACACACACACACACACACACACACACACACACGCTACTCTTACGTTGTCTCTTGCCTCGTCAGTGACCACTGGTGGACACTCACTATGGACCAAGTTGGGGCATTCCATCTGTGTTTATTAGGGCTAGAAGACGTGTTGGTCTGGGTCTTCGCCTCTTCAGCAAGGGGGAAGAGGGCTATCAGTGGCCCTCGGAGAAGAGATCTCATAAGAGGTGTTGATGGTGGGGGAGAACCTCCTGGTGGCTCATGTGGCTTGGGAGGAAGGGGGGAGTAGAGGTCATGAAAGAGTCTCGAGGAAGAGGTTACTGGACCTCAGGAACGGGGGGGTTTGGAGCCCCACAGGGAGGAGGGTTTCGTGGGAGAGGGTTAAGAAAGCCTCTGTTGTCGGGGAGAAGGAAGGGGGACTCTTAAAACCTCAGGTGAGAGGGGGGGGATATGTCATGAGGGATAGGTATTAGGGTTATAAGGAAGGATGGGAGTTGGACAAAATCAAGTTTTGATTTTGTCATGAATACATCAAACGTGACAAGTACTGGAAGGAAGGTGGTAGAGGAGCAGAATAGGATATGAGTGGGGGAGATTATGCCAAGAGGGATTGTTTGTATTAAGGGAATAGATGGTAAGGCAATAATGGAGAGAGAGAGAAGCCTGGAGAAGTAAGAAGGGAGGTGTAGAGACGCCTGGTGATTATACGAGGATGACATTCAAGAGGCAGGAGCCACGAGATTACAACCTCAAGAAGCACACACTGGTAACGACTCAAGGCGGGCAGAAGCTCTGGAAGGGTAAGCTAACATTAATAAGAGACGCCCCGAGACATTAAAATAATAATTGTCTTTGCAGGGTGAAGGAACATAAAGAAGACGCCTAAACCGCACTTGTGAAAATAAAGGAAGTGTCGATGTTTCGGTCCGTCCTGGACCATTATCAAGCCTTGATAATGTCACAATGTCACTCATTAATTTCAGTTGTACGGGATGTGTCATAGGGCCAGGAGCTGGGAGGGTGCCACCTGAGGGTCAGTTGCTGGGAGAGGGCCAGGAGCTGGGAGGGTGCCACCTGAGGGTCGGGAGCTGGGTGGGTGCCACCTGAGGGCCAGTTGATGGGAGAGGGCCAGGAGGTGGAAAGGTGCCACCTGAGGGCCAGGAGGTGGAAAGGTGCCACCTGAGGGCCAGGAGGTGGAAAGGTGCCACCTGAGGGTCAAAAGGGGAGGAGAAGGAGGCACTACCTGAAGCTCTCCAAAAATAATCCAGCCTGAGCCAAACAGCTGCAGGGGATGACGTCTGGCCGCCAGGGAGGGGATTATCCTGGATCTCATATCCATAAAGGATTACTCGGGAAATGTGTTCAAGTTTAAATCCTCTTCTATTTTGCCACATAAGCTTAAGAACATTATTTAGTAGCCTAGGGCGTGAGAATCCTAGAAGGTATTAGTATTTGCGGAGGAGGGGTGTGTGAGGTGGTGGGAGGAGATGGGAGGATGGGAGGGGGTGGGTGGTTCAAATATCTAGATCGTCTTATAGCAATTTTGTTTTCATATGTATTGATTTTCCATCCTATTTTTGTATCTGCAAATTTGCAATGTTGCTGTTCAACCCTGTGCTAAATCGGTTTTACATGTGGTAAAAAGAGTTTCAAAAACAGATCTTAGGTGCATTTACAACGGTTTCCCCACTCGAACTGAACTCCATCTTTGCTAACTCTGATTTCTCTGTAATAACCAATTGCTAATCCAAGTTAGTATAACCCCTCCCCTAATGCCATACGCCTCAAACTTTTTAACGATTCTCACGTGAGTTACAGTGTTAATGGTTTTGCTAAAGTCCAGGTATAAAATGTCGTAATCCTTACCTCTTCCAAGTCTTTCCTGTATCGTAACTTATCCAATTCATATCCATTATTTCGGTTACATTTTGAGTTTATATATTTAACACCTTATTAATATATTTGTTGTACCCTTTTATCTATTTTTACACTTCGTTGTCACCCTTAATTCTTCGCTTTTATTGAAAAAGTAAAATGTGCCTTTTAGCCTCTCATATAAAATGATTCTAATGCCTGAGACTGACTTTGTCATCCTTCTCTAAACTCGTTCAAGTGAATCTATGTCTGTTCTCTAGTATGGTGAACAAAAATAAAAATACATAATCTAAATGGGGCCTAACAAGAGCAAGATAAAACTTCTGGAAATAAATCCCTCTTTACTATTTGGCTTAAACCGAACTTTAATGCATTGCTTTTTTGGCTTTAGATTCATACTAATAATGACTCTCAGATCATTTTTGCATTCAGACTTCGTAATGTAAACACTATCAGGCTGATATCTGATAACTTATCCATTTTGTTCAGCATTACACTGCATCTGCCAATATTTTATTCATTTAAAAAGCCTTTTTAGATCATTTTGAGGCTTTTGAATTATTTCCTACTTTATTTTTGTGCCCAGAGGGCGGCCTGGCGCCCTCTGGGCCTGGGGATTCGGTCAGCTGCAGGAATAATATCAGGTTATTCTTATTTAAAATATCACTCATTTCTTTGTTATTATCAGTTACCTGACCTGTCTGTTTTGAATGGTCCAGTCTTGTCCCTATTCTTTATTGATTTATCTGGAAAAAATGTAGGATTTGTCTTTACCTTCCCTGCTTTTAGGTAATTTAGGTATTATGATAAATATCATAATGTATTTAAAACAAATCATATTTCTTTTTTAAGAGTTCTTAATAGTTTGAGCAATTGCTGTTCAAGTTAGACTTTGGAATTCTTAATTCGCTTGCATATAGTTTTATTTTTATCCGATAAGATTCTTTAGTCCCATAGTTATTCATTTTGGGTCACTAATTCGACCTAATCAATTTATATGTTATTCTACATGTCCTGTGCTGAATTATAATATGAATGTACATTGCAATCCAGTTTCATGTCACCCACTCCTGGTGTGACGTTACGTCCCTAAGACAGGCCACTTGCCAAGTTCAGAGCCACCCAATCTATCCCTCACAAGAAACTCTTAGTCCCTTAAATCAACTTTTCGAAAATGTTGCTCCTTGATATTCCTTCATATTTCGACGTAAATTATTGTCTCCATGTTTGTTAACAGAGATATAATAAATTAGAATGGTATTATCCTGTGCTGACTCTTGAGACATGTTGTTTAAGGAAACAATTATAAATAATTCTATCAAGTATTTTGCCTCAGAATCCCATGTTTTGTTAATCCAATTTATTTAGAATCCCATGTTTTGTTAATCCAATTTATTTTACTATAAATTCACCTATCACACGAACATTACTAGACCTAGATATTCTAGATACTTCTTATATCTGCTTTCCTTCCATTTTCTTTAAAATTTTTCCCTATATATAACTGCTATTAATAGGTTATCATTATTGTCATTTAATGCTATCGAAAATTAGTTTCTCTGTGGTTCACTTTTGATCCATTCTCTTAACACTACATTTTAAATTTTCCCTTGACATATATTTCCACTCCTCGTAATGGTCCAATCCGTTCATCATTATGAAATAATTTGTACCTCTTAATTTTGTATTCAGCTAATTCATGCATTCATTCAG